CTATGACATTTTTTTTCTTATCTCTTGTTTTCATTTTATTACCCTTTTTTTTAAAAAAAACATTTACTTGAGAGACAGTATAGCAGTAATTTGTATGCCATGACAAGACTGACCTTGTCAATACAAAAGTTACATTTCTTTTATATAGATCTTGCTTTATCTTGGTCTTCACCATCCAACATAAAAGTATAAAAAATGAGGTATAACAAGTAAAGCCATATTAATATGCTGAGCTGTAAAAGGCTCAAGTCAACAACTTCTGACATTGCCAGTCATACAGATAACCCACTACTATTATGGACTACTGGACTATATTGGATTATTTTTGTGAATTTACACACCTATGATATTTAAATGTCAATGGAATACCCATCTTTGACAAAACTAAACAAAAAAAAGGTGATACAAATGAAGGACTATTTTGTATCTGTGTATACAAAATAGTTAGGATAGATACACAGCTACTTTCTTTTAATTCAGTGAGAAGAAAGATTTGTGCTAATAGTGTTTGGACAGGATATCCTGTCTGCATCTTGTACTATGAATAACCACTACAAAGACAACAATATGCAATGTATTAATTGAAACTGCCTTACTAATTGGTTTTGCAACTGTCTTATTGCTATTTGTTTCTCAATAAAATTAATAAAAAAATAGTGGTCAGAAATGTTAACCGAAGACCACTAACTAGGCCACCATTTCCTCTGAGCAGGTAAGAAACACCTAAAAAGCCTCTGTGTCGTTTTGTCAGGTATGGTGGGTGTGATGTTGCCTACTATAATGAATGTGTGGATTTTAGCCACTGTTCTCCTCCTTTCTGGTAATAGCATCGCCGTTACCTTTTGGGAGGTTACATCCATCCATCAAGTGTAGCCTCAGGGGGATTATTAATAAAAATAGCCCACCTTCCTCTAGCCAAAGGAGGGATATGTTCTCTCCTGGGATTTGACTTGAAGTTATGAAAGACTGAAAACATATTTTTTTTGTTTGAAAATCTGTCTTAGGAAGGTATTTGGCTTTAAGCCACAGATAGTTCTACTTAGAGTCATACAATAGAATAGTGTCTGATAGCCTTGCATAAGCAATCCAGACAAAAGTAGCTGCTAGCATTAGTTCAGTTGTTCAGTATCTGGTTTGGTGTTTAGTTGGTGTCTTAGTCTCTACCATATAAACACAAAATGACTACAGAAGATCCCTCACTGCATCCAGGTTCAAGGCAGGGAGAGCAAATGAAGCAGTTGTTTCTGTCGCTTTTACCAGCAAAGTAAAATCTTTCCTAGAAAATCTCAAACTTTCTTCTGGTCAAATCCCTTGGCTTGAACTGTTTTGTGGCTACCCCTTGTGGGCAGGGGTTGGGCATGGTGAGAATCTACTCTTTGGGCCTCTTGGGGTGAAGTCAGCAAGGAGGAAGGAGATGATCCACCAGCTTCTACCACCTCCCCACCATCACACCAAGGAGTCCACTGACTCCTTCCTGTCCCCGAATCCTTGTGGTTGTCCTGCTCTCTGTCTGCACCTTCTAAGTCTAGGTCTTGAGCTTGACATGGTGTAAGTTATCTTCTAGATCTCTGATAAAAATCTGGACCCAGCGCATCACAGGAAAATCCTGACATTCTTATCCTATAATGTTCCCTGCAGGACAATGTGAAAATACCTAACAGTCAGTGTGTTCAACAAGGTGGGTGCAGGGTAGCACAGCTGGTTGGAATTAGCTGATGGGGGCTTAAGCCGGGGTGTCTCATCTTCCAGGCCCTTGTAACTCTACTCTACTAAACTACCTCTAAGGCTTTAGTTGATCAACAAAACAAAACGTAAAACAAACATACAAAAAACCCAAACCACAATTTTCTTATTCTTTAAGCACACTGGAACACATCTACCCTGGAAAAAAAAGAGTAAGAGCCAAACAGCACTTTTGAGGAATTTTCTTGAAATAGAATTGTGAAGGGAGATAGAACTATCTAAGCCCTCAAGTCCTGACCAACACAATGTTTAGTTCCAATGAGTAATAAAGAAAAGACTCATGGGTTTCTTAGACTAGCTTGGCTCTTAAACTGTGGTCTAGACAGCCCCCAGTGAGAGTCAGGAAGACCACAAAGTTGGTCTTGCCTCACTGCTGGGGAAAGACTGGGAAGTGGTGTGGAAGAGAGATGAAGTGGCCCCTGAAACCAGACTGCCTGTCAGGAATGTCATCACCGCAAACCAGCCCAGGCCCCTGGGCAGGTCACTTGCCAAACCACACATGCCTCAGTTTCCTCATGTGTCATGGGGGACAGCAGCACATCTAGATTTGGGCTGTAAGAAAAGTTAAATGAGGGAAGGCTCTGTTTGAGTTAGATTCATGCTCATTGTATCTTTTCACTGACTGGGATGTTTGTTTGCCAAAAGCAATTCATAGGACTTTACTTAATCTACTGTGGCTTATTACCTCACTAGGACTTTCACAGTTGGAGTTATCTCAGTATTTTTCTTTTTAACTGAGGCACCTAAGTTTACTTGTGTAGTTGTTAGAGTAAACTTTTTTTTTTTTTTTTTTGTGACGGGCCCAGCCCACCCTGGGGGTAGGGCTGGCACAGCATGCGGTGCCGGAGATAGAACCGCAATCACTGCACACTTGCCTAAGCTTGCTTAAACAGGTGTTTTAGACCGCTGAGCTATCTTGCCAGCCCACAGCAAACATTTTTTGGTCAACTTCTTATTTAACTCAACAGCTATAACTTTATGAATTTTTTTTTTAAACTAAACTACTTAGTATAAAATCTATATAGATTATCCTGGAGTTGGGGGACTCTGCAAGTTTTTGTTCTCCTCTAATGAATATAGTAAAGTAAAAATATGATTCTACTGCATCATTTAAAGCACATATAAACTGGGCGTGCTGGCACATGCCTGTAATACCAGCACTCAGGAGGCTGAGGCAGGAAGATCATTAGTTCGAGATCATCCTGGGCTACCAAGTGAGCTCAAGGCCAGTCTGAATTGCAGAGAGAGACCCTTCAAAAAGACAAAAAAAAAAAAAAAAAAAAAAAAAAAAGAAAAAGATAAAGCACATAATGAAGTCTGCTTAGTAAGTTTTGTTATATTGATTCAGACCAGTGTCACCTCCAGTGATGTGTCCTCTCCCTTTCCTGGCATGAGACAGGTAAGAGGGGACAGCTTTGCAAAGAAAAATTGATGTTACCCTCGCAGAGGAAGTTTATGTCCTCCTTTGAGGGAGAAAGGAGAGAATTGAGAGTTTTTTTCTTAACTGCTTTCAAAAAACATTCTAATGCCAAAGTGACATATTTTAGGGAAACATTCTGATCTCCTTCAGTTTCCTTCATACATGACATTATTTTAAAAATTCCCAAATCTTTACCTAGTCTTATATGCTCAGCCTTACAGGACCCTTGGGCTGGAGTCTTGCTTTGAAGAAGTTACAAATAAGTGTGAAGTTTTCAGAAAAGCCCTCAGCACTAGCAATGCCCCTTATATTTGGACAGCTTCTGAGTTTTCAAATGCCTCATGTACTGCATCTGTTTGAGGATCCCAATCCCAAGCAACCCTATAAGGCAGCCTGATTTTCTTATTTCTATTATATAGAAAGCTGACTCAGAATTCAGGCAACTTGCTTAAGATTACCCAGGTTGGTATCCTGACTTGTCTTTCTTGTTATATACCTACACACATGACTATATATAAAAAATACATATATGTGCATATTTGTTCTAAAATGTCTCCCAAAGCCTCATAAACTCCCAGGTGGGGCTTTTGGGAGTGGATATGTGCTATCTATGGTATTAGTGGGTTAGCCTACTGATTGATTTAAGACGGTTCTGGGTTTGGATAAAAGAAAGGCCCACCCTTAGGTGTGGGTGGCACCATCCAAAGGCAAGTAGCCAGGTTGGGGCAAAAGGAAGAGGAAGGCTTGCTGCAGGTTGCTTTCTGGTTGCCCTGCCATGGGTTGTTTCTCTTCTGCTATGCTGCCCTGTCTTGGAACCCATTAGCTATGGACTGAAATCCGTAGAAGCTGAGTTGAAATAAATCTTTCTTCCTTGAATTTGTGAATGTCGGGTATTTTCTTCCAGCAGTGAGACCATAACTAAGACAGACACACAATTCACGCGTGGAGCTAGTGCTGTCTTGATCCCTCCGGTCCTTGTGTGTTACACAGCGATTATGACTTCCTCTCAATCCAAGGCTAATTCTCACGGGCTGTGCATTAAGGAGCTGGGGATGTTCCGGGGACATAGTGACTAGGTGCTCACGAACAAAGAATGAGCTGTTTGAAGTGGGCCCAGCAAGATTTCTTTTTGGTGGTTAATTTGTTGCTGCCTGTCAGCTCCAGATAGCCTTAGGTGTTTGAGAGAGACCTGCAGTTCACTGAAAACACCCTTTGCTTCAGGGTCATTACAAGTCCAGATGAAGTTCCCGTTTTCTAGATCTTTCACAATATTGCCAAATTTGGCAGAAACACCAACATAGTTGGCGCTAATGGCCACTCCCAACCAATCCTCTTCGCCTTTGCCTCCCACTGCAGGGAAGGAAAAGTCAGCCACTCATTTTCTCTGGGTGGCCATTGAGGCCAGGAGAGAAGCAAGCTGGGTGTGGGGTTGTTGTTGGGAAATACACTCCCTCCCTCATAAAGGGGGAGGCAGCCTTGGCCCACTCTTAAGTGCGTTCAGCTTTGGAGTCTAGGTTAGGACGTGCTTGCGAGCAGGAGGCTTTCAGACTCAAAGGGAGGTGGGAGGAGCCAGGGGCGGGTCAGGGGCGGGGCTATGCGGGCATTCGTCAGCAAGGTGGGAACCTAGGGCTGGATCTTAGGGAAGAATGGCTTTCCCGCGGCCAGGGCGCAGCCTTGCTTTCATTGGACAGATCATGTTAGGGGCGTGGCCTCCGGACTTCAGTGCCCGCCCCCGCGCTCCTTCGGGGCGTGGCCTGTAGACCGTGAGACCTGACTCGGGGCGGTGGCGCGTGTGTCCCGGCGCGGGGTTCCTCCCACGCAGACACTCATTCAAAAGATGCCGAAGGGGCGGCGCGGCAGCCAGAGTCCCAAGATGAGCCAGCGGCCGGCGCCGCCCCTCTATTTCCCGTCGCTCTACGACCGCGGCATCTCCTCATCTCCGCTCAGCGACTTTAACATCTGGAAGAAGCTCTTCGTGCCGCTGAAAGCGGGCGGGGCGCCGGCGGGCGGGGAGGCGGGGGGCCGGCCCCCGCCCCAGACTCCCTTCGCCCTGGAGCCTCCGCCGCCTCCCGGCCTGGGTCCCCCCAGCGAGCGCCCCTGTCCCCAGCCCTGGCCTTCCGGCCTGGCCTCCATCCCTTACGAGCCTCTGCGCTTCTACTCGCCGCCGCCGGGCCCGGAGGTGGCTGCCTCGCCCCCGACTCCCAGCCCCATGATCGCCCCGCTCGCCTGTGTCCCTCAACCCGAAGAGTTATGCGAGCTGGAGATCCGGATTAAGGAGCTGGAGCTGCTCGCCATCACTGGGGACGGCTTCGACTCCCAGCGCTGTGCGTGACTTCGCCAGCCCACCCCTAGCTGCCCTGCCTCCCTCGTTGGTCCCACAAAGTGGCTGTAGGCTCATCTTCAGGTCTCAGATCCACAGTCTGTCCCCTAGAGCCCCATTCTCTGCCTCCATCCCGGGTTTCAACGGGCTTCTTCCTCTACCGCACGTCTACACTTCAGAAACCCTGTAGCTTCAGACTATCCTAGGCAATTTTGGTAATCTGGATTCGGCCCCACACATAGATCGCCACCCACTGCTATCCCGTCCTGACATTTAACTCCACACAGTAATATTCAGGCCCCTGTGGTCTGGACTTCCAACCACAGACAGCCTTTCCTTTATCTCTAGAGACCTTGAAGCTTTCATATTCAATCTGAAACTTGGGCCTTCAGTCTGGGGGAGGGGGAGGTGGGTGAGGATCAGCTAAAATATCTGCAGGGGAAGTCGGAATTGTACAAGATCCAGAAAACCCAAGAACCTTCAGGAGAGGCTTTGGGGACACTGCACTTTTCAGTGCTGGAAGGCTGGAAGGTAGTCTCCCTGGGACTGTAGCTTCACACCAGGGTCCTATACTTTGCCATCTGATCATAGGGCTGAAGTCTTAGGAATCTGGACCAGGCCAGACCATGTGTGCTGATGTGGGTAGGGATCCCCTAGCGTGGGGGCTGATTCTCCCTGAAGGGTAGGGTGGCTAAGTCCATTTGTGCTCCTAGAAAGGCCTATTGCACAGTCTTCAGGAGCATGGGCTGTCTTTTCCCATCACCCATCTGGTTAAGGCTTGCACTTGACCATTGGAGGAGGGCAGATGGTTCTAGAAAGACCATGAACTATTGTATACTGTCCCTGGGAAGTCAGGTCTTGGTGCAGAGAAGAGTAGATGCATATATCGTCAGACCTTCAAGAGTGAGGGCCAGCAGTGCCCCAAAGACATCTACCCCAAGTGGGACCTAACCTGCCTTTTTATGCACCCAGAAGTTACTCCTGAGGTTCTGAGAAGAGTGATGCTTATCCCTTTTATTTACATACTGTATGCTCTTATCACCATTTCTCTTAGGGGTTACTTTGGTTGATACCTCAAAAATGTCTTCTTTGTTCCTTTCAGGTGGTCAGTCTAGGAACTAGACCAGCCTAAGAGAGGAGGGTATGAAGAATGTCCCCCTTTATATCCTTGAGCATATGCCACAGCACCCAGGAATACTGGTTGCCTTGTTTTGGAAACACAGGGATACTTCGGTTCATAAGCTTGATTCTTCCCACAGTTCTGGTCCCAAACAGACTTGGATGAGACCCAAATCAAATGTCATGGTTAGGTGCAGTGTTGAACCTAGCGTTCCTGTGGGGAAATTTAATTCAGTTCTTGTCCAGTTCAGAGGGAACTGAGTTCATGAACCGTGGTATGGCCAGGGAGCAGAAGGCGTGTGTACAATATGTAACCTTAAAATATCATTGTGTTTTGTAGGATCACTGTAGGCCTAAAGTCTAACAAATTATTATACCTATATTACACATTGAAGTCTTCATTTCTTAACTGTGTAACTGGCAAAGCATGCTATTTTGGACACATACACCCTTTTGTCCTGCAGGCCTACTAATGTCTAGCTACCTGCTAACATATTCAACAGGTTAAATTGGAGCCCATATTGCACAAAGAAGGAAAGTATGAAGTAACCTGCGTGTCTAGCACGGCCCCCAATTCATCCAACACCCTGTAATGTTCCCTTTCTCATAGCCATGGAAGGAAACAATTCCCTGGGAAACTTGCGCTTTCCTAAGTCCTGGACTTCTTCAATCTGTTCCCAGGGTTAGATGTGTTTTAATAGCTATGATTTTTTTTCCTCCCATTTTGTGTTGCAAGTGGGTTTTATGCTTACCTAGGAAATACCTTTACCTTCCCAGATGCTTGCTCTGGAAGAGGTTGTTTTGTTTTTGTTTTTGTTTTTCAAAGCCTTTCTGTTTTCTACAACTGTTTGTTTTCTGTCCTGCAGATAAATTTCTGAAGGCGTTGAAAGATGAGAAGTTACGAGGACTGAAGATCAGGCAACCCGGAAAGAAGTCGGCCTTGCTGCCCTGAGGAGCTGCTCTCCAGAGTCGGGCAGTCCCCTCCTTAGGTTTTAGTGCTTAGATAACGTGTCCCATTCCTTGTCATTTCAAAAATGGTTATTTTCTGTTCTGTATTTACTACTGTTATTGCTCCGAGCATGTACTCCACATACAGTGCCCACGTGTGTGGCCAATCACTTGGTCTCTCTCCTCTGCGCTACTGCTGGGGGAGCTCCTTTGTGGGGTCTGGAAGCTGCTGCGGGGCTGGCTCTCAGGGTCTCCTCATTCCACAGGAAGGGAGCTCCGAGCTGCCGTAGCATGAAAACCAGAATGATGGGTGCATAGGAGGGAACTAGGGGAAACCAAGGGAACGGGGTTTGGGAAGATTGATTCAGTTTGGATGGTGGCCAAGAAGCTGTGTAGCCCTGAGATATAGGAGCCTGGAGCTTAGAGAAAATCTGGACTGAGATATAAATTTAAGGAGCTGCTGATATGAGGATGTATTTAGGGTGAGATTAAATGAAACCATCTGGGTAATTAGAGGGAGAAAGAGAACTATTTGCAGGTAACATCAAAAAACTCTCAAAATGTAAAACTATTTGAGCACCAACATTTCCACCACAACTGGAAATTTTTATGTCATGAAACCAAACTACTTAAAATATTGTATAAAATTACTTTCAGGATACTCATATATGGTAGAAACAAAACATCAATGAATATCATGTTTAGACTTAGGTCCCGCCCATAAGATACCTGATTATGTATATTGCTTATAGATACTGTTTCAAAATCTGATGAAAGGTTCATAATTCAGAACTTTTCTTAAGCATTTTGGAAAAGGGTCATTCAGCCTTTGTTGAACTTGGAGATGCTCAAAAGTTGGAGGAACAGAGGAGGAACCTTTGAATTCATTGGTTTATGTGCCAGTGAGTCAGGCATCTTAGACATTAAGTGAAGAAAATTACCAAGAAGAGACAGCAGCCAGCTGTGATGAACAGCCCTGGCAGGCCAGTGAGTCCGAGAAGCCGCTCTTGGACCCAACAACAGAAGATTAGTACTGGCGCTCCCATCAAGAGCTGTTTGGCTTGAGTGCCGGGTTAATGCCTGTGGTGGAGCAGTTTCCAGAGAGAATGGGAAGAGGGAACTCGGAGATGATGAAGGCCTATCGTCCCTTAGAGGCCTTTGGCTATAAAAGAGGAGGAGGACTGGATCTAAGCTGGAGCTGGCAGGCTGGAGGTGAGGCAGAAAGGGAAGGTTTTATTAAAAGAGGAGTAACTGCTTATTTGTGGTTTAAGCAATGATGAGAGAAAGAGAGAGAGAGACAGACAGACAGACACAGACAGACAGAGGTGGTGACCTGGAGAACAGGAATGGCTGTGGCTGGCATGACACCCTTTAGTCAGCAAGAAGGCTGCTCTGCTCCTTTTGGTCTGTTTCATATAGTTCTGGGAGAACAGCAAGGCTAGGAGGTTTATAAAACACCCAAGTTGATTTTTCATAGTTCTGGAGGCTGGCGAGTACCAGCCAAGGCACTGGGTGGTTAGGAGCCTTGTCTCTCTGTCCCCAAGATGCTGCCTTAAGTGCTGGACCCCAGGAGCATGTCCCTCTGGCAGAAGCACAGGACAGGTGAGGAAGCCACTTTATACGCCCTTTTAATAGCTGTGTTCATTTAATCGTGAGGGTGGAGCCCGCATGACCTGCGCACTACCCAGAGGCCTTGCCGTCCACCACTGTGGCACTGGGGATGAACTTCCCAACATGAATTTGGATGGGGACTGAAGTATCCAAACCATGGCAAGGGGGGGATCCAGTTCACAGTAGAGAGGTTGGCACAGGAGGGGAGTACAGACTCTTCATGTGCTGGAATAGAAGTTACATCTATGGTAGAGGGTGCAGATGCTGGTGAGTGAGTACAAGGAGTACCTGGAATACCGGAAGTCATGCACACATGCCCCGAAGTTCATACAGCAGCCTCAGCTTGGGGATGCGATGTGCATGCCCACAAGGCTGGAATCTCAAAGCTGAAGGACCCACATGGAGGCTGGCAAGCTGCAGAGCTCATACCCCACTGTGGTGACAGTGAATGTCCGGTTTCCAGCTGCTTGCTGCCAAGGCACGAGTGTCAGTACAGGATCAGGTGAAAGCTCCTAATTTCTAAATCTTGGCACTGAAGCCCCATGATTCCACTGAGCTATGCAGGCCAAATAAAGACTGGAAAGTCTCCCCCAGAGTTGGCAATCTGCCTGCCCAATAGGGACCCTCCTACCCTGGCAGAGATTCCAAGTCCTTCTCTCTTCCCTAGAAAGATACCCTAGGCTGGTAGCTGCCGGTGAAATCCGCTTGTTTCCCCAGGAAATTTCAGGCTGGCCAGACCACTAGGAAGAGGGGTAAAGAATCTTTTTTTTTTTTAATATTTATTTATTTATTTAGTACAGATAATTTCAGGGCCAGCATGGCATGTGGTACCAAGGATCAAACTCAGGTCCTTGTGCTTGCCAGGCAGGTACTTAGACAGCTGAGCTATCTCCCCAGCCCAAAGAATCTTAATGAGAACAAAGAATAAACCAATTATGGGGAAAAACCCAGCCCAGAACCCAAGCAGAGACAGAAGTTTGTTGCCCATTCCCTCCCCAGAGCCCAGATGGCCTAGCCCAGGCCATGGTTGAAGCAGCAAGGCACCAGATAACTGCTCCCTACCAACAGTGGTCTGGTGGAATGTGAACCATGTGATTGTCACCTTCTCCAGAACAAATGGAAATTCCATCTGGGTGCCGTTCTAGATTCCTATTCCGAAGGAAGTCGCGTTCCCTCTGGGTGCTGGGGGATCCTCTCTTTGGAAGTGCTGATGTCCATCCTTGGGTACCACACAGCATCCAGAAGGAATGGGATTAGCCAGGAATCCAGAAAAATCTGATACGAACCTGGGGAATTGCCTAACCTAGGGGCTCCTTTGGTTGGGAGACATAGAAGGCCCTAGAACCAGCATGGCAGATGTGATTTTTTAGAAGAAGGAAGGGGTGAGGGATCGCTATGACACCCATCAGCTTGAACTGCCATTTCTTGGACAGCAAGTGTGGTTGGGTCATTCTGCCATCTCTGCCCTTGGTTGGGGATGTGGTGGTATTGGAGGGCTCTGTAGTTGCAGTTTCCCAGAAACACAAGAGTGTAGGAGCAGCTGCTGCCCAAAGGAAGGAGCCCTGGTGGACTATGCCAGCCCACGTCCCCCTGCTGGCCTTTGCTTGGGTTGGCCCTGACCCGGAAGCCTTTTGTCCCTTTCTGCCACACCTTCCCACCTTTTCTGGTCAGCTTCCCCACACCTTGGCTCCCAGGGAGCTCACAGGAGCCAATCGGGTCCAAGTGCGCATGACTGCAAGCATGCATGTCTCCAAGAAGAAGGGAGGGGACGACACGGCTGTTGATGCCCCATTTACTCCACCCTTACTGTGAATCACAGAAGTCCCTCTGCACTTCTCCACAGGCAGAGAGCAGCCAGGGCAGTTGTACCAGAGGACCCAGCTTTAGTCCTTGTGAGGAAGCAGAACCCCAAAATGGCTCCCTTCCCATTAGCCCAGTGTCACTGCCTCCCACATGTCTTCCTTGATTCTTCTCCCTAGTGTCCAGGTTACATGTCCCCTCTCTGAGCTTCTGTAATGGGCCAAGCATCCCTTCTCCTGGCGCTAACCACCTGGTGTATAAAGTCATCTGCTTAGCTCCACAGTGAACACCCTGGGGAAGGGTTATGCTGTCACCACCACCATCCGGAGCAGGGTGGTTTGCACTGAGCACACCCTGCTCCTGTATCCACTGAGCACACTAACAGCTGAGCCTGAGATGAAGATGGAGTTCCTGGTCTTACAGTCTGACCTACAGCCCAGCTTGTTGAAGCACCAATTTGCATTAAGTCACAAGAAAGAATGATCTAGTGCACCACTATCTTGGGAGTATCTGTTGGTGACAGCATGGGAGACAAGGCCTGAGTTCTTTACTGGGACACAGGGACAGGCCTTAGGTAGCCCTTTGTACCTGGGATGTGGTATGTAACCCAGTGGCTAAGATCACTGGCTCTCAGGTCCAGCTGCCCATGTTGAAATCCCAGCACATATCAGTTGGATAACTTTGGGCAAAATACTTAACTTTCTGTATCTTCCCTCCCCTGCCACATGTCAAGTGAAGAAAGTAGTGGGTGCCCAACTTCCCATATTGCTATGCGGCTTAAATAAGTAAAGATGTAGCAGCCCTCAGAATAACCCAGAGCGAGTATTGGATAAATGTTAGCCATTCTATCTACCAATTCACAGACCCCAGGAGTCCTGTTCACGTCTTTGAATTTATGTAAATCCAGCACAAAGAGTCAGTAACCTCAGAAACAATGATATAAGTGAAGCCCTCGTTCTTGATTTATTCATTCATAATGTTGTTCTTTTAATAAAACAGATGCTTAAATTCCTGGAATCCTTTTTGTCATATGGAAAATATGTCGCTTCCCCTGCCTGTGGCTGTCCCTCAGCAAACTGAGATCATGTACATAAACCGCGTACCTCAGGTCATCGCCGACGTACACCATTAGCTTTGCCTCTTAGGGTTTGTTTGCTAGAGAATTTGCATCATGGTTGTTAGCAAAGGTCCTACCGGCTTGTTGCGGTGAGATCCGCTAGGTGGCAGCGTAGCTTTAGCGGTCTGATGGGTTCACCTACCGCACTAAGTCCTCTCCTAGACAGAGCTGACATTTATCCCCCTGTCTATTATTGCCTAGAAGAAAACCGGACTGGAAAACCTTCAGGGATGAGGAGGAGATGCTGGAGCCTATACAATATTCATTGCAAAAATAAACACAGGTGCAGCAGCTGGCCTTCCCCAGGGGCTGCAGGTGGCTGCCCGCCCCAGGGAAATATGCTGTCCTCAAGCTGGTTTGAAGATGAGAGGCATAGTTCCAATGAATAAAAGAAGCTGGACTGAACTCGGTGACTTATTTCTGGAGGCTGGAAGTTCAAGATCAAGGTGTCTCAGATTGGCTTCCAGGTGAGCCTG